GGTACCCCCACAATTGTGTCCTGCCTGACAGGAAGAAAGAGGCATTTCAGTTTTGCCATGGATGAAGGAAGGAAGGAAGGAGATGGAGTTAGAAGAGATGCTGTAGGTTGTTCTCAATCCCTTAGAAGGAATTGACTTCTGCTGAGATGATGTATTTACTCTGAGGTTTTCTTCACCTTATCGAAATGTTTACAGTACAATGTTTATACTTTATAGATGCTCATTTTGGGTTGTGCAAATACACTATTTTTAATGTACCAGCTTCTTGGAGAGAAACTTAAAATGAGATTGTCCATGAATCAGGCATTGGGCAACTAATAATAATAATAATAATACCATACAATAATTGATGCCAGGCTACTTTATATTTAAATTGCTTCACAAAGGGAGTGATACTGAAGTGCAGCATTCCCTTGGAAAACTGAACTAGTGGTGTAGTTGCAGTGTTAAGTCAAATACCACCCAAACAACAAATGAGATATACAGGCAAGCATGCATCCTTGCTTAATAAGAGAATACTTAATTTCCAGTTCTTGTCAATGCATAGGGTCAGAGTTATTTATAATAAATTTCATTTTTGGACCCGTGCATTTTTCCTAGTTTAGAATCAATTGCTGTTTAAACTTTAAAGAGTGATTATGTGTTCACTTTTGAAATGAAAGGGCACATAGTTGGCCGCAACACAGTAGGAACAGACTTTCTAGTATCAACTCCTTTAAGGGTTTTGACAGGATCAGGCCACTGGGAACAATCTGTGGGTCAGGCACCAGACAGCACTTAAAACAATTATGGTCCAGGATAGGGTGGGTCAAGTCTACGATATCTAAAACTCCAAGTCAGGGGCACCACTATGTATGTATCACAGCTTTTAGGCAAGGTCAAGTGAAAGTTGAAGGCTTAGACATGAAATCATGGCCAAGATTGTAAACAATTCTGACAATGGCATGAGGAGAGGAATTTAGCAAATTTGAATCAGGTCCTAGTTCACATTCAGGATCATTTATTATTGTCTGTATTCTACAAAATGTGAATGCTGGCAATTACTCTATATCTTACATTTTAAAGTTCTGGTTCATGTCTCATTCTGATGAGTTGCACTGACTGTGCATATTTGGAAATATTAATTTGGGGTTTCTACTACAACACCCATTCCATATCTTCATATGCATTTTCATCATCTTCCTTCTTTATGTACTGCTGTGGCCAGCTGGGCTCTACTTCTGTCTTCTGCAGGCAAAAGAGAAGGATAGGCAAGAGATAAGAATTTATGAACAGTCCTGCTGGGTGAGACCAAAGGTCTGTTCTGTCCTGGAAGTCCACCAGCAGGGCTTGAAGTGAATAGCCCTCTTCTCATTGTTCCCCATGGTGTCTCTGAAACTGGGGATTGCATTTAGCAGTTATAAATGATAGCCATCAGAGATATGCATTTCATGAAGGAGGCCAATCCTTTAAAAAGTTTTCTAAGCTAGTGGCCACCATAACATTCTGTGGTTGCAAATTCACATATTAATTACATTTTGTGCCAACAAGCATTTCCACTGTCTGTCCCTGAATCTACTGCTAGTCGATTACACTGGAAGACTCCAAAATCCAGTATTAAGAGAAAATTATAAAAGTTCCTCTGTATCTACTTTCTGCACAGAGCCATCATCTCCTTTCTTTCCCCTTAAATTCAAGAGACCCTTTCACATTTTCTCAAAGAGAAGGTGGTTCCCCATCTCCCTGATTATTACACCCCTTTTCGGGTTGGTGATTTTCTTTTTCAGATGGAGCTACTCAAGCTATACTCAAATATGGCTGCACATGTGAGTATAGTATAAGGACATTGTGGTACTTGCAAGTATACTTTACATCCCTTTCCTAATGATTCTTAGCATGGCATCTGCCGTTTTCTAACATAGAGTTGACATTTTGACTCTATGACAAAACTAATCTGATAAGACAATCCTTGTATATGTCAGGGGTGGGAAATTGGTGGAGCAGGCTGGAACTGGTCCAAAAAGACTTTTTGGGTAGCTTGTCAGCCCCTTACAACATTTCTTGGTTGCTATGGCAGCAGTGACAACATGGTTGCTTTAAAATATCCTCCACGAAGTGTAGTGGTAGCAAAGGTAGTAGCAGTGGGGACATTATCCCTGGTGGGGTTATCCTAAGTGTTATCCTTGGTGGGGGGAACCTCCCCCCAACTACATAGTATCTGGAAATAATCCTCACTAAGCTTCAGCCTCTGAAACTGTTTATAAACATCTTCATGGGAGCATTTCTGGAGAGCTTGGGGATCATCAGAGGAGCATTGTCAACATTTGGTCAAGATCAGAAGAGATATACTTCCCACATCTCCCTTTACAACTCCAAGGAAGAAGAGCTCCAGGCAGGGCAAGAGCTGCACACAGGTGAAGTGCTTTGTCTGCCTACTTCCCCTTCCCTGCCACAGCTCAAAGCAAAACAGACAACTCAATAGCAACTCTAACAAACGTTTCAATTGCACTCCATGCAGCAAGTCACTATTATCCTGGTCTATGAGAATCTTGGCCTATGTTAATTTTGTCACACTAAATAGCATCTCCACATTGAACTTGCAGCTGAGCAAGAGGTGTGTGAACTGTGTGTGTGTGTGTTTAGGGTGTGTGGTGGTGTTAAGTGTGTTGTGTGATTGCGTGTGTCTTAAGGGCATGTGTTGTGTGCATATATGCCCCCACTTACCTTTGGATCTGGTCCACACACTTTTGGAATGCACCTTCTGATAGATTTTGACCTAGGTAATCTGGACCTTGACCTGAAAAATGTTACCCATGAACCTCATTTGCAATTTTTTTGCTCATTTACTGAGTATATTGTTATGAGTTTGTGGGATGCAAAATATCCTAAATTCCAGGGTCCAATTAAAGTTAGACTTAATGAAGGTTTGGGCAATGAAATTGTGCCAAACACTGAAGCCCTGGATGCAGTTTATGTTAAAATACAAGCCAGGCCAGCCTGGTGATAGCTTGTTGATTGTGGGTTATTAGGGGAACAAAGCCTAGTCATGGCCTGGTAGGTGAACCATTGAATGAGACATTAGCAGGCAAAGAATATGCGAAATTCTGTCAGACTCCTTTCCTTCCCCAGGGCTACAACTGTTTTTCACAAAGATACGTCAACTTGTGGTGCTGTGGGTTAAACCACAGAGCCTAGGACTTGCCGATCAGAAGGTCGGCAGTTTGAATCCCCGTGACGGGGTGAGCGCCAGTTGTTCGGTCCCAGCTCCTGCCAACCTAGCAGTTCGAAAGCACGTCAAGTGCAAGTAGATAAATAGGTACCGCTCCGGCAGGAAGGTAAACGGCGTTTCCGTGCGCTGCTCTGGTTCGCCAGAAGCGGCTTAGTCATGCTGGCCACATGACCCAGAAGCTGTACGCTGGCTCCCTCAGCCAATAAAGCGATATGAGCACTGCAACCCCAGAGTCGGCCATGACTGGAACTAACGGTCAGGGGTCCCTTTACCCTTTACCTTAAGGCAACTTGGGCTTTCAGAGGATCTCCTGGGTGCTGTGGCTTTTTCAATCACCAAGGCCATGTTAAAAACTAGGCTGTGGGACATAGATCGCCAGGAACTAATCTCAGCTGCGGAAAAAACATGTCCCCCTCTTTATTTTCGACTCTCTTGGGTGCAGGAATTTAACCTTAATTATTTACAATTTTTGTTTAACCCGCAGGAGAGAAGGGCTTTTTCGCTGGCTAGGTTCAGTTGTAATCCTTCTAACCTCCTTTGGGGTAGGTTTGCGGGTATGGCAGAAGGAGATAGGATCTGCCCATGTGATGCCCACCTGGTGGAAACTCTAGCTCACATGGCCCTTAAATGTAAAATGTATGATGATCTCTGCCAACAATACTTAGACCACCTATGTATCCCAATATGGAAACCTGAGACAGAGGTTATACGCTTCTTATTACAAGGGAGAGACCAGGAGCTCACCAAGACAGTAGCTAAGTTCCTCTATTTGATTTTCTGCCACCAAAGTATGCTACAGGACCCTGCCCTTGCTGGAGACCCACAGAGGTGAAATAGATTGCGCGCCTTTTCTTCCCTTTGGCAAATGACTGTACTGTTGAAATGGCGACGAGATCGCATTGGCCTATTTATTCTGAATGTTTGTAAGTGACGCCAATAAAGGTTTGATGGAAGAAAAAAAATATATGCCAGCCATCCTGAGCTGAGAGACAGATATCAGAGGCAAAAGCAGAGTTTTTAGTTTGGTTTTGCTGCTGGTGATGATGTAAGCAGAAGGGAAAAGAATTGCATTTTGCAAGCAGTTTGCAAGCTGGAAAAGGGAGGATCAGAGCAATGTGAATCCAAGGAGGCAGTAATGGGAGAAACAGGACCCTCTTGGAGCCCCTCCATCTTAGGCCCAGGTTATATATATGTATAAATAAACCATATTTCATAAAGACACTACAGTCTCCACTGCGTCTCATTTTTAAAGGAAACACAGACCCTGGTAAATACAGCTGGTACCCCTGGAATCTTGCACCACTAAGAGATTGGGCTGGCGTGTAAATATATATTTTTTGAAGCTCTTCACAGTCTGCTTGGCTCCCCGCACCATCCTGAATAATTTTGTGACCAGTTGAAGAACAGAATGGGAGGGACAGCATCTGTGTGTGTAAATTATAGACACTATCACTGCAAGAAGACAACCCTAGTTGTTATAGCAGACAAAAGTGAGTCCTTCTCTGCAATTAGGCTATCATGCCAATTGTAATGCATTTACCGAAAATGTACTACCTTGATTATTGTTTACTGCATATGTCAAAGTGTGTATTCAGGCAAGTGACTTCTAGCCATTATTTTCATCTTTCTGCTGAAACCATGTCTGTTACGCCAGTGAGCTTCACAACAATATATATAAGTTAGCACGCGGTGATAAGAATGCAAACATCACTGTGCCACTCACAAACTTGACAGTAAATAAAAACCATGGTTATATCACTTTAGCTTGCATTCTTTCCATACCACAGGTCACCATGCCCCAAGGAGATCGTCTTCCAAAATATTGGCCAACTACACTCACAGGAAGATTCTGTTGAGTCTAGCCAAGAGAGATGAATAAATGATGGCTGGAATATTCTAGGTCGATGGAGTGTCTGAAAGATTATTTGACATTACAAGACAAACAAAGCCAACTGTGGGCACAGTCTGCTTGCTAAGCGTCAACGGGATCTTTTTGCACTAAGTTCAATGGGAGAAGGCTCTGTAATTAATCTTCATGAGTAATGCGTAGGTTTCCAAAACATTCTAATTTCCCACAATCATCCTTTATTTATGCCCAGATAAGTAAATGTTCTTAGGGCAGCTACACCGCTCTGTAGAAGAACTGTCCCAAGTCTATGAACACCATCTTTATTTAATTTAACTGGCTTTCCAAACTTTCCCCTAAGAATTACAAAAAACTCTTAGTTTTGCCTAAAGAAATTCTTAGCAGCACAGTTCTGCCTCTATTCAGAGTAGGCAAAGAAAGCTCAAACTGCAAATAAATATTGTCCTTTAACTAGGGAGGGAAGATATCAGCAATAGCCCACATAGTGCTACCCAGCTATTATGGACAGCTCCCATCATTCCTGACCATTGTTCATGTTGGTTAATGACACCAAAACTGGCCACGCCTGGTGTCTTCAGCCCTTCCATCACAATGGAATTAGTTATGTTGTGAGATGGTGAGGAACTGGTATAGGGTCACCCAGTGAATTTCATGCTATGTGAAGATTTCAAAGCAGCTTTCCACTGTCAAACCTGTAACCATTACACTATGCTAGTTCTTATCCTACATGAGGCAATTTACCAGAGTATGCTTGAATTTTTCAAGCTAACAACTGGCTAATTAACATGCAGATGAAAGACAAGGAAGAAATGAAAACTCTGAAATCTGCTTTGAATAGAGTTATTTGGTTAGTGCCGAATGCTGCAGCATGGTTACGGACAGGAGTGAGGTCTCTGACTCCCAAGCTGCAACATGAAACCTACAGTCACATTTACACTTTTGATTTATAGTTAATAGTGCTAGAAAAGCATATTGTGGTTAGCCAACAATATGCACAGTATTAAAAATGTCTCACACCTTTCTCCTGCCACATTGCGGCACTTGTGAAAATGGATAACATAAGCATCTCATCAGAAGAGTGTTTCCTAGTCCTGACATGCATGTAGTGCTCCTGTGGTCTGGTCAGCCTAAGCTGGAATCCAACATGGCTGCAATAGCTTTGCTGCAACCAACCTGGTATGGCCTCATGACCATACCTGCTCTAGACCCACTGCTCTAGATGAATCCTTCATTTATGTACCATGCAGGTATATTTCTATCACACTGTTGTAGAAATTACCCTGATCTTCAATTTTTGTATGTTGCTGGAGGCAAAGAGGTAGCTCATGAATAAATAACCTCAACCATTATTATTGTTTTAAAAAAATATGTCTCTCTGTGTTCTGGGTGGTATATGTTTATGCACATATAGCATCTCTTGCATAAAATTATTAGTTTTTAATACAAATAAAAAATACAAATCAAGCGCCAAACTGATCCACCCATTCCTAATATTACCTCTCCCACACTTAACAAATAACATTGCCAGTTACCCACAACTAGCATCTACAAGATGTAATTCAGGTTCATATATTACCACCACCACCCTGCTCACCTCCAAACAAGGAAACAGAAGACAGAAAGACAAAATAAAATAAAAGGGGACGTTGTGGCAGGAGAGATTTCTTAAAATTATTGTTGCTTATCGAAAAATGCTCCCAGCTGCCTATATTTATTTATAATTGACTCGGTTCCTCTTCTCGCTACAGGCATTCCTATGCACGCTTGAGATCCAAAAGATTTGCAATGCTGAAATGACAGGAGAAAACACCGCAGCTTATGAAAAAATGCTATGCAAGGTTCTCATTTATGTTGTCTTTAGATTGCCTTCATATAAAGAGTCTCTAAAGGGACCATGAATAAAATATGGAGAGTAATTAACAGCCACTTTGCATTGACAGGGGCATCCTTTAAATTAAAACCAAGTTTCTGCAGTGCTGGCCCCTCCAAAAAAGACTCGTTGGAAATCTGTTAGTCATCCTTTTCAAATTAAAGACTTGGAACGGTTACTGTAAATGAGCTGGGATTAAATTCTATAGACCTTGACACAGTGTTTCAGACATCCCTAGCATTGCTTCTTGACAGTGACTTTGGCGATGGTAGGGGCCATAGCTCTGGGGCAGGGCAGATCCTTTGCATGCAGAAAGGCCCAAGTTCAAACACTGACATCTGTGTTAAAGGGGTGGTGGTGGCAGCACCAGGCATAAAGAGGACCTTTGGAGAGTCATGGCAGTCATAGCCTGACCTTGGCTGCAACACGGACCAAGTGCTTGGCCTACTGCAGTCTAATCACAATTTTTATTTGACACATAGTAGAACTGCGATTTCATCTTTATGTTTTGGGTGCAGGTTTAGGTAGGCAGCTAACGTGCTGCTGTAGGAACAAGGAGTACACCCTTATTGTCAAGACAACCAAAACCAATACTATTTTGCATTAGAATGTGCATTTCACTGCAAGGGTCTAGAGGTTGCATTCATTAAAAAAAAAAGAATGAATGAAAAATGAAAAGAAGCCCCATTTGTTTCAGTTGCTTTTATAGTGGAAACAAATGGGAATTAAAATGAATGAAATGAAAATGACAGTTTGCTTAATTTCAAGTCATTTGTTTCTAGTTGCATGGCTTTACCTTGGCTAGAGCTTTGTGTTCAGCTCACAAGGAGTTCTTAGGGATGGAGGAAGAGAAAGTGCAATGAAATTGTCAGATATAAATTGGGGCTTATAAAATGGAGGTATGTTGTCCCATCTGTCTGAAATGTGGAGGTCTGATGCGGGAATGGCTTCAAATTTCATGACATTTGGATGGAAAACACCAAAGTTCTAGGCAACATCAGACTGGCTGGGTCTCCTGTTGAAATAAATAGGAGAGAAAATGAATGAAAAACAAAAACAAATGAACTAATAACCCATGAAAAACAAAAGCAACATGAATGCAGTTCAGGCAAATGGAAAATGAAATAACTTTTTTTTAAAAATGAAATCAAGTAGAAATAAAATAATAAAATAATATTAAATAATTCTATTTCCTTGTCCACCCTTACAAAAGACTGCTGAGCCAGTTGCCTCCTAAAGGAACTTGCCCCCAACTCCCCCTAAGAAAGACAGCAAATAGGACCAAACTAGGTATTCACTTAGTTCTTTGGAACCTATATTTGAGACTTTTTCTAGTCATGATGTTTTTAGGAAGATGGAAGTTTGTCCTGATGCAAGAAGATGAGTGACTGTCCCTCATCTTTAAATCACCAAGTAAAAGCCATGGCAGCTCTCGACAGCCCTCATTCCCACTACCTTAGCACAAATAGCCATGGAAGAACCAAGGAAATGCATGTCAAGAAAGAAAATAGGAAAGCACTATTTCAAAGGTTTAAATTCTGACAGATACGTATGTTCTTTTGGCAAAGGGACTACAGTGTATGTGTTTTCAAAAGAGCTGAATATGCAGTGCAGCTTTTTCTAAATATATAAATGCAGAAAAGGGCAGTAGAATCCATGAGGTTCAGTGTCATCTTCCCTTGATGAAACGCCTTTAGGAACCCAGCCAAGATCCATGATGCATGACATATTACCCTAGCAGTATGTCAACAAGGCCTTCAAAATGCAAAGTACATCTGGGAAGTTATAGTTGTTTGAAAGAAGCTGGTAAGCTAAAAGGGGTTATGGACAATATCTTTTGTGTCATGAAGGCAAAACAGAGCTTCTTTGTTTGACTTTCCAAATCTTATATGGGAGCAGAATAGTATGTTTGTCATATGTTTATATAAACATAGGAGCTTTATGTAAACTCTAAGACAGAAATGGCATTGTATTCCACACAGTTTTACCTACTGTGAAATGCATTACAGACTGTACTTTAGCATCAATTGGCAAACTCTCAGTCAAGAGACATGGTTAGGTTCACGTAATTTATAAGGGCCTTATGGAGTTGAGCTCTTTGCGTAGTGCCTTCTTGCAAACCATCAATAATTCTATATCTCAGGCTTATTTTTCTAAAATTGCCAGATTTTAGGAAAATAAGTCCAAGATATGTTATGCTAAGTTTGTGTAAACAGAGGGATTGCTGACCACAAAGTGCTGCTGTGCCACTTTCGAATTCTGGGATTTGATTTTAGTGTTGGGGCTTCTAGAGAACAAAAACCCCATTTGGAAAGTTCTCTGAACCAAGTCTATGAACCTAAGTGACCAGAAAGGGCTGCATCTCAGCAATAGTAAGTACACTGATCCCTCATACAAAACAACAATTTCCATTGGCTCAGTATTGTGTACATACCACCTTAGTTGTCCCATTAGCTGCCAACCATAAAAAGGCACTGAGTAAGCAGAGTGGCTTCAGGGCCTGATTCGGATGAGAAGGGTGTTCATTAAAGGCTGTCATCAATGCATCGATGGTACCAAACTTTGAATCCATGCCCAATTTTGAGCATTTTGACAATTTGCATAATGTACACATTGAAATGACTGGCATTATGTTTACAGGGAATGATCACTTTGCATGCAACCAATGTACACACAACCACTTTTGCGTGTGCTGCTTTTTGCCCCTGAATGGAATGGGGCCAGAATGGACTTATGCATGACCACTGACATGTGCAATGACCCAGAATGCAACCTCTGCACAAATGGGGAGCTGCCTGTACATGGGAATAATGTGCATCATATACACACTGCAATGATGTGGGGCTAGAACAAGATTTTCCCTATGATGGGTTTGTCCCCCCCCCCTTTTTGGACAAAGGTTCTGTGCCTTTTGTCATTGTATGACATGGGTAGGCAAACTAAGGTCTGGAGGCCAGATCCGGCCCAATTGCCTTAGAAATCTGGCCTGCGGACGGTCCGGAATCAGCGTGTTCTTACATGAGTAGAATGTGTCCTTTTATTTAAAATGCATCTCTGGCTTATTTGTGGGGCTTGCCTGGTGTTTTTACATGAGTAGAATGTGTCCTTTTATTTAAAATGCATCTCTGGCTTATTTGTGGGGCTTGCCTGGTGTTTTTACATGAGTAGAATGTGTGCTTTTATTTAAAATGTATCTCTGGGTTATTTGTGGGGCATAGGAATTCGTTCATCCCCATCCCAAAAAAATGTAGTCCAGTCCCCCACAAGGTCTGAGGGACAGTGGACCGACCTCCTGCTGAAAAAGTTTGCTGACCCCTGTTGTACGACCTGGAGAAATCCATCTCCTTTAGCTTTTTCAGACATGAAGATGCAGTAATGGCTTGTCCTTGCCAGGCATATATACAACAGAGATAGGTCCCGAAGCACCAGCTAATCCCATAGTAACAAACACCTCATTGTCACTGGCAACAAAAGCTTTTGCAAGAACTAATAATAGAGCAGGATATAGTTTTGCCCAGCCATCTCTAGGTGCAGATCATCCACCATGGCCGTGATTGGGTTGACACAGGTTTAGGCTCCCTGCTGCTCTTCACAGGCTATAGTAGAGTAAATCTGACTGAAGCAAGAAGGGTCAGTTCTAGCTGACCTGTGACAAGGCAGGGACAGAGCCAAGCCAAGAGAGGCAGAAGCAGGGGTGGGCTCAGAGAACTGAGTCTGCTTGCCTTTTCAGCCTGACTCCTTCTCTTGCCTGTGTAGGATTCTGATAGGAACATGTGGAGCTTTTATTTATTATTTATTTGATTGATGTTGAGAATGTTTACTCAGGGCACTATACAAAGGATGATTTAAAATAATTATAAAACCAAGTAAGCCACACAAGGAAGCAAAGCAGCTAGAATTTCATCGTAAGGTCAGAATTAAGTGAGTCAATCTAAATGACAGATGGAAAACTAGATCCAGCCAGCAGGACGGATGTTGAACTAACCCACCTCCACTTTGACAACTGGACAGGCCCTCCCAGCTGCCATTCTGCCAATCACCTGATGACACCATGACACCAGGAGATAGTACTTGTATTTCAAAGGAAAGAATAAGGAGCACACAATAAATGTGCCGTCAAGTGATCATTTTTCCCCCTTTTGCAGGCACCACTTAAACTGAAGCTGCCTCTGCAAAGGAAGAACCTTTCAATTCAAGGTAGGGAATGTAAGGGAAGAATCAGGAGTACACTCAAAATGCCCTCCCAATTCTTCTTTTACAGTCAAAAGTTGATGCCAAATCAAAAGGTGTCCATTTTTGCTGCAAAGGTTTGCATTCGAAGTTTACTTTCCACTCTTCATCTTTTAGCCACAGCTTGAACTTGTCTATGCCTGATGTGATATATAATGTCAGGCCCAGGAAAAATAGGCATGGTTTGTCCAAATCAGTGGTTCTCACCACTGATCAAAGTAACCTTCAGCTGGTGCTAGATAGGACATGAGCTCCAGACCAGGGCACCACGACTGACAAGGCACTCTCTGCAAACACCGCCCACATCATCTCTGACAGGAAGGAGACTCAGAGAAAGGCCTATTACATCAGAAAAAGACACCTATATACAGTTTTCATTCACTCCTCTAAGACACAAAAAGTGTCAGTCCTAAAACGTTTTTAGGCTGATTACCAATTTAACCAAAGCACTACAAAAGTTAGTATTGCAAGCTGCAGCTACCAAACTCTGTGCAAATCCATTAAATACTAATTTGAGAACAGTATTTATGATGAAAACAAGACTCTCCCCACCCCCGTAGGATTTCATAGTTATTTGATGCAATGTCGCTACAGTAGCTGGAGGTTGCTGACTGCTAGGATAGAATGGTTAAGTCCTCCTGATTACAGGTTTTTTATGTTATTACCAACCACTCAGTCTTGTATTTGAGAGCCAAATTCATCTTGGATGTAACCTAGTTTGAAATGAATGAAAGCTCCTGGCCCATTAAGTTTAGCCTGTGATAAAGTCAAGGGCAAAAGGATATTCTTATGCAAAGTAGCATCAATGCAGATATGCCACTAATCGCTGTGGATTAGGAGGAGGATATCCATGTCCTCATAACACCTTCATGCTGATCTTTCTCTCTTTCTCATTTTTCTCAACACAAGTATAAGGATTTATTCCTTCCCCAGAGAAGACAAAGTGCTATCTGTTAATGAAGCAACAGAGCATCATTAAAGGTGCAAATCTCTTATTATTTTGGAGATGGTGATTTGATAAAAGTGTTGTTATGCACAATGTCATATTAAAGGTGTTCATTTTGCTTCTCCAGACCCTATCAAAACCTACTAGCAAATTGGCTTCCAGTGCTGGGTACAGCAAAATCAGCCTAGCCATGCCAAAAGCTGATAATTCAAACTGAATTTAGGCACACACCTGATTGTTTGATCATGAAATCAGTAGCCCCCTTCATAGGTTAATTGCTTGGCGGCAACTCCACATGATTAAGAGGAAGCAGGGTTGTGCCTTTGGGGTCATTCGTGATGTCCCAAATCTTCCTGGCCCTGACCCAAACATCCACACACTGAGAAAAGACAGTGTAGAAACATGTTCTGGAATGCTGCATGATCAGGGCTGCAGAATACACAAGGGCAGCTTCTGTGGTGCCACTTTAAGACTGATTCAGTAGGAAGATTCAGTAGGAAGAATATAAGACAGAGGCCAAATTCATATGGGAGATTCTGGGTGGCTTCAAAAAGACTGCCACTGGAGCTAGACTCATATGAACATACACAATTGCAAGCTGGAAGTCAATTTCATTGGGCAAAGTGCGGCTGAAGTAAACATGCATAGGAGCAAGCTGTTCAGATCTCTGATTTGTAAAAATTGAAGTGCCAAGCACAGAGGAGGCACAGAACAAAATAGCACTTTGGATTCAAAGTACTAAATAGACTAATAATAAAGACAGCACCTTGGTATATTTTCAATCCTTACGCCTCATGGTATGTGTAGCTGTGACGGGACACAAAGCAACTGCGCTGTCAATACTTCAGTAGCCTGTTAAAGGCAAATGTGGCAAATCATTCCTGCTAAGCTGCCTGACAGCTGCAATCCCATTATGAGACTATTGCTACATATCATGTGCGCAGGTTTGCTTGGACGTAGATGCCTTGATGTTTATTGAGATACCATAAGCATAGTGCTGAAAGGTATACAAATGTCTCCTTCAGTCTTTATTCCTGGGAAATACAACCCCTTTGTGCAATGGCCACTTTGTTAAAACACTAATGGGGTCTGTTGCCAGGCTAGTAGCACTCTCTGAACTCATTGCTCTAGTATAACATACAGAGTTGACATATAAGATGGAGGAAATGCAAAATACAACTTTGCCATGTTAACTGCTGGTTTACTGGTGCATTGGCCAATTAACAGCTCTTTCACCTTACTTCCATGAATATTTACAACCAGAAAAGCAACAGACAGATCACCTCGCATGCTCTGCAATTCCATTCCAAACCAAAATCTGTTTGATATCAACTTACCTGCTATTAAGAAGAGATATATTACTCTGAAACTCAAGTGAAATGTCACAGTTCAATGATTAACTGATAATATATATTGAATTCAGTTAACATATACTGAATTCAGTTGCTGGGTGTATGCTTAAGCATATTTAAACAGAGCTTATGTGAAATAGCTCTGTCTTTATGCAATTATAAATGGAGATGCAGAAGTAGATTATGATTTTATTACATTTCCTCACTTAATCATAATGTTCTGAGTTAAGGTACATTGCAACTGGGAATGCAACTATTGGGTAAAAACTACCGTAGGTTATGTTTCTCTTCCATATGTGAGAATATGCATAAAAGATAATCATTTTGCTAAATGGATGTAAATTAAGAGTAGTATAGATTACAGTTACTGTAAAAATAGGTTAAGATATTTCTACCACACTCTTGCTTCTAAATAAGCATACAATTTACAGTCATACCTTGTGTTACGTTTGCTTTCTGGTTACGAATGTGGCAAACCCGGAAGTGTTTACTTCCGGGTTCGCCCCGCGCACATGCTCAGAAACGATTTGCACGCTTTGCGCATGCGCAGAAGCACTCTATCGTGCTTCGCGCACGTGCAGTAGTGGCACTCTACTTACAGACTTTTCGGGGTGCAAACGGCACCCCGAAATGGATCGCATTTGTAAGTAGAGGTACCACTGTAGTTATTAAATTAAAGGCTGACTACATGTTACAGACCAACATGCTGAGCCAAGTCCAGACTACAATGTTTTAAATACACAAGCCTCTTTCCTTTCCCTTTTTTTCTTCCTCAGCCCTGCTTTCCATCTTTCTGGTTCTACCAAAGCACATTATTTCATTTCATCCTTGGGTTTTACCTGCTGGCTGTGCCACCTATCTTTTGTGGATGTTTACAATAGCATCAGGAAAGTTGTAGCCATTTGATGAGATAACTTGGTCCTGTGTAGATTTCACTGACAGATGCATTCATGGGAACATTCAAGGTTCCTTAAAGTAAAACTGAGATTTATGTCGAGAGGCAGAAACATTTTGAAATTGCTCTTGCATACGCTCACACTTTCTCAGCTGGGAAAGGATTTTCAGGCTCCTAACATGCCAGAGACAGGTGGATATCCAATATAGCCGCATGCTGCAGCATCTGCTAATGGTTACAGATTACATTTAAAACAGCTATGCATCTGATAAGTACACTAAGTGTTGACAGGTATTCAGCTAAAGTAGACTGTACAATAATATGAAAACGCAACACATTACACCCATGTTTTAATCTAAGATGCCACTTTAGAAAGGTTAAACATTATTAACAGATACAGACCTCATTTCACAGAAGCATTTTAAGGACAAGAGATCTAAGGGCCTGGTACACTGATCCACATCCATTCACTTGCAAAACAGTCACAATTAGAATGGCTCTGTTATATAAACATATGAAAGTTTCCAAGCAGGTCTAGAAACATATGTAATTTGTTTCCCAATGTTTCAGTTATTTCCTTTCACATAGAACACCAGCAGAATAACTACTGTTTGTGGCAAGGCATGGGGTTCCAACTTTGCATAACCTTTGCAATCATATGTTCCCCAGATTCATCTTCCAGTCATCAGTAAGAGTGGAACAAAATTCTACTACCACTGGAGTTTGGGCTGGTACTGTATATTCCAGCGAGCATAAATGAATTTCCAGAACATAGTTAAAATCACCTGTTTGGCAGCAAGTTCTGGACCTAGCCTAGAAATAAACAGAAGCCCCCTGTGAAGGAAAAGAGGATTTTGCTTGCAAATTGAAGGACCTGGGGGCATGCCAGGTGAGGACTAGTGCAGTGCAGGCAATGCTTTCTTCTGGGGGTACTCAATGGTACCGAGTACCAGCACTTACCCCCCAAATGTTCGAAGCATGGCACTTACTGCAGCAACTTCATGGTGAGTATCAGCAGACACACACACACACAGAGAGAGAGAGAGAGAGAGAGAGAGAGAGGGAGGGAGGGAGGGAGGGAGAGAGAAGCACTGGGTGAGTTACATATGACTAGACACTCTAACCCAACCCTCATGTGTTCCAAGGCCATCAATGAAACAGTTGGTGCAGTTTTTATCAACACATCTTAACAGTATCTAAGGGCTTCACTGTGGAAGAGGTTGTGGAAATAATCTGCATTACATTCCTGAAGTGAACACTCCGACGATCTGCTGTAGTAGTGATGTCTTTTACAGCCCCTCTTCCCCCCCAAAAAAATCAAAAATAAAAGCATACTGGATGGCTTCGAGTATATGCAAAGGGTCTCAGTTCTGCTGAGTTCTGCCAATTTGTGTACACCCACAGTAAACTGTAGAAGCAATCCTGTCTTCTGCAATTCACACAGGTTTGGGTAGAATGGAACATTCCATTCTCTGTCAAAATGTCATAGAGTGGAACAGACTATTCTGTTCTCCCCTCATTCTCTAGGGGCAGGTCACATTTACAGGGTAGAATCTGCAGATGGGAAAGTAATGTGTTTAATTCTACCCTTCGGTTACCATTTTGTTTTTCAAATAATCCGGTGAGACTTTTTTTTTTGAAAAGGGAAAAAAAGCTTATTAAAAAAGTTTTGTTTTTGTTTTTTTGTTTTTTGAAGAAGTAATATCTTCTCTTCTGTAGTCTCCTCTGTCACGCAGCCTTCTTCTGAGCCCCGGCTTGCTCTCTTGGAGCACTAGCTGCCATGGAGTTGGCTCGGCTCAGGCCTGGGCTCGGCCACGTGTCCTTGCCACAGTCCTTGCACAGGATTGTTGTGAGGGTTAAATAAAGATGAGGGAGAACCATGTATGCCACCTTGTGCTCATTGGAGAGAAAAAAGTGGGATAAAAAGTGGGATAAATAAAGTGTATATTGGTAGTTGTACCACTTCCACCCCACTTTCAGAATCCTATATCAGAACACAGTGAGGCAGCCCTTTCCTGATGTGAAGGCTACAAATGCCTTGCATCAAATTTCCACCAGACATCTTAGTTTACTGGTACATGATGAAAAATGATAATGCTATATTTATAATCTCAGTGGTTTCTGCAAAATACAATTTCATTCCTGAGGACACATTTTTCACAGAAGGATTCTGCCATTATCAACTTCTCATATATTGCAGGAACTTACTTTCCAGTTCAATTCTCCTTCATGCTTTCAAATGGGGGGGGGGGGAGGTTAAGGCTGTAATATAGAGATACATAAGATGAGGCTTCCCAGGGCAGCCCACAGAGCAGGTTAGAGAACAATTTTTCTGATGAGGACTGTGTTCGTTCAAGGGTAATTTGTTGGGATCCACATGTTGGCAATGTGAAGGGCCACTGGTGGGTGCAGCCAACCCCGTTTCTCTTGTTCTCTTTCTGTCAGTCCATTATCTCTCTTTCTCCTTCCTTCTCTTCTGTCTCCATTGCCGATCACTAGACTGCTAGGGCAGGGACAGATCATTCTGACCTGCTCACCTGCAGAGAGCAGTGGTGGCACCAGGGGGGGAAATCTGGATGGGCACTGAAGGATCAAAGCATATTTCTAGGGGGGAGAGTTAGCTCTCTGGAATAAAGCTAACACTATATGTAAGTGACAGGATCCCAACAATGGAGGTGCAAGTGGGGTGGGAATCTTCTTGTTTGAGCTGGTGTTTGCCCCTCCCCAACCTCTGGCGGAGAGCTTTTGAAATTAGATTGAAGACCACACAAAATTAGTCAGAAGACCACATGCAGCCTTACAGTGCAGAATGTAGATGCCATCATGCTTAGGATGATATTTTATTCTCTGTTTTAAATGCACATTTTATATTTGACTTCCTTTAGTAATGTTTTATTTTGAAATGTTTAAGATAATATTTTAGTTTCCAGTTAAATATATTGCTTTGAATGTATACATCATATCTGACTTTCTCCAGCAATGTTTTATTATAGAGTCATAGAACCCCCTGCAATGCAGGAATCTCAACTAAAGCATCAATGACAAAGGGCCACCCAACCTCTGCTTAGAGTCCATAACTTTCTGAAGGAGTCCGTTCCACTATCAAACAGCACTTACTGTCAGAAAGTTCTTCCTTTCTTGCAACTTGAATCAGTTGGTTCAAGTCCTACCCGCCAGAGCAGGAGAAAGCCAGCTTGCTCCATCCTCCATGGAACACCCCTTTAGGTATTTGAAAATGACCATCATAGCTCCTCTTCTCCAGGCTTTATCCAGTTTTATTGTATGTTTTAATGTAAGCTGTAAACCACTTGGAGATTTATTTGCTTAAAAATATAAACGGCTATAGAAATGAAATGAATGATACCGGTAATTATAATCAGATGACAAATCAAACCTTCTGGGGGAAAAGGGTGTTACCTTGTAAGAGGGTCACTCTGAAATTAAGTTTACTTTTGGCCCAAGCTGATCAGTGGTATAAGCAACCTAATCCGGACGGAAGAAAAATGTTTCTCAATAATGCCAGTAGGATAACTGAGAAGATGCCAAGGATGTTGAAGGTCTCTGAAAAGGTTAGAAGTTCAGTGCTTCATTTCTCCAATGCGGGAGACTACTAAACTCATCACCACAATGGGGAAGACAAAAGCCATTTCACTGCAGCAAGCCCAACAGGCGGCGCTCTACAGAAATATGGGACAATTTCCCTAGAAGAGCAAGCAAAAATGGTAGAACCTCTTGCATTGAATGGGGCTGCACTGTTGTGCCATGGTCACTATATTTGGCCCTGAAGAATCATGATTTCCTATTTGTTGAGAGCCAGAGGATCCTTAAGCATGTGATAAATCTCACTATATTCAATGGGCCTTATTCGCTAGTAAGCAAGTCTAGGATTGCAGACTTAAACCTTCATATTATCTTTGCTGTGACCCTATTTTAGCTTAACAGAAAAGGTTTTCCTAATTTGACTATTAATCTTGGTGCCAGACTGATGTATGCTTTCTCTCGAGTCCTTTAATTTAGCCACAACAAAATGCACGTGTAGGATATTCACTTATGTGTCAGAAGTAATATATATTAATCGCTGCGGTTGTCTGCTTTAGGGCACAGAATTTGTAAAACTCTTACTGGCTGCTCATCCTGGTTGTCTAATATCTTTGAGAAGAGTGACCCTGCATCCCTTTAAAGTCACAGAGAATTGTGGTTAAAGGTCACGGGAGATTTAGGATGTCACTATGTGTATGCTGGTTAACCATGCTCCAGCTCTGTATAAACAGCTTATTGTTTAAGCTCCCTGTCCCTAGCCTTATTTCTAGCACAGCAGAGTCATATAAGGGCATACAATTGTTGCACCAATTACTCATTGTCCTTAGATAATTCTGGTGGCGCTTCCTCATGCCATCTTGTGTGCAGTTGCTAAACTACACCTTGGGCTATTTGCTTTCACATCCAGTCCCAAGGGGACTGATTCATGCGGATGCAGATTCACAGGGGGCGGGGATGATAATTTTTTAAACCAAGCATAAGCCCATGTGGATGAACAGCGAAGAGATGGTATGTCCTTTCTCTCTCAATTTGCTTGATTGGTTTGTAGCTTATTTCAAGCCAACTGCAATAACGCATCTTGTCTTGGACAAGACTGGCTGATTAGCTTCTGGATGTGATAACTGGATAATTCCTTGGGCATTTTCTTCCCCTTAGAAAATTCAGTTTAGAATGATGGGTTCCTCTGAGTTGTCTGGTAAAGAAAGCCCATCATTCTTTGGCTTTGATGGAACTCTTATCAGCAGGTGACAAAGGCACTACTCATCAAAACTCCTTGTCAAATCTGTTCTTCAAAATCACTTGTCAGTCTTTCCAGCCTTTTCCAAGCTATCCAAGGGTTGGCTGACTTCCTATTCATACTGAAGGTCCTCTGACCTATCTTGAAGTTTGTCTACTTCTTGGCAATCTTCTCTGCAAATATCAGCTCTCTCTCTTTCTCTCTTGCCCGTCTCTCTGTCCCTTGATTCAAGGCTTGTTGATAAAAATATTGTTGAAGCAAAATATCTCTTGCCATATGATTTTAACCATCTTGTAGTCCTTGAACTCTTCTTACACTTTATACAGCAGCAGAAATGTACAAAACTTTATTTATTGATATGTTGCCTTTGGGGGTGTAGCCCACCCAAGATGGCTCATGGTATCTTAAAAACACAATAAATCCTCTGAACTAAAATAACCAGAACTAACAATGGCAGCAACATTAACAATTATTTAAAAGGCCAGTTACATAAGCTGCGTAAAATTCTAGGATGTGTAAAACTTAGCAAACAGCAAGAAGCCATTTTATTTGCACTGTGTGGGCTGCAGTAGCTCTTGCGCAGTGGGAACCCATGTGGGAAAGTTGAAATAATCGTACTAAAAGAATATTCAATATCCTTTGTCTTAAGTCACACTATAGCAATGTACAATTTAGTGAAGGACTGTAGTTCATCCATTTTGCATGCAGATGGTCCCACGTTCAAGCTCCAGCATTTCTACCAGAGTGGCTGCCTGTCAGTGTAGATAACAGTGAGTTAGATGGACCACTGGTCTGACACAGTATAAGGGAGGTTCCTATAGCCCAGGGCTAAATTGGCAAAATAGGGAATTAAGTATAGAACAGTAAAGTGTTGGTTGTGGTATTCTGTGCCCTATATGGTCTGGAGCTGGGGTGCCTGAAGGATTCTCTTCCCCACATAAGCCTTTCAGAAAATAAGATTTTAGGCATTCTCTGGGTGTTCACTATCTGCTGAGCGGATGACTACCAGAAACAAGGCTTTCTCAATGCTGGCACCCAAATTATGGCATCTCTCTCTAAACTGGTGTACTGTACTTGGCACCTTAAGTCTTTTGAGATAAGTCTGTCTTCTTCATTAAGTCTTTAAAATGTCACCTGGTTTGTCTTGTTATAGTATTAGCTACTATTTATTTTATTTTCAGTTTAACAGAACTTGCTTGTTATTTGATTGTTTTTAGGATACTTGTTACTTTTTTGTTGTTGTTTATATCTATATCTCTATCTATCTATCTATCTATCATCTATCTATCTATCTGCAGATGTATTTGCCATTTTTTATTTAATGTGATGAGACATTTATATGCACCATATTTTAATGGGTTTTCAGACATTCTGTGCTGGATATGAATGTGGTATCAGAAAACCTTTGGAGCTATTCCACTGCAATAAATGGGGTGACTTCAGAGTAAGTGGTATGAAAGCTTCAACCTCAGATATTTCCATGCATTTCATAGCAATGAAACTGCAGAATGGCTAATTGAAAATATCTTTGAAGAGTGATAAAAAAACCAGGAGCTTCCATCTAATTGTCTAGGCTGGAGAACATTTTCCTATTAGGTAGAGTGAATTCGGATTCCCTTGCCGCCACCTCAGCTTTTAGTGAATAATAAAAG